CATCGATCGGCCTCGCCAACATACCACAAATGAATGAATCACTAGTTCCGTTTTCCCGATCGATGTTCGTGTGGCAGATCAATGCACTTCCCGCAGCGAAATCCTGCAAAGAAAAATACAAACAAATTGTAAGAGATTCTTCTTCCAATGGAAACGTACAGCTTTTCAAAACAGTAAAATCCGCGTTTTCTATTTGCCGGAACAATATTATTTGCAATTTTATTATTACTTCACTAACTGACCAGAAAACCTTCGAAAATCCACGTTAAAGTATTCTGAAGACCAGGAAGACAACTGATTCCTAGGCATATCTTGACTGTGCAGCCCATTGAGCTGAAAGAGAATTTTTCTTGAAAATCTAAAATACACCGATATTTACGGGGACCGAACAGTCAACAACTTTGACACTAACAAAATCCATCATAACACCACGCACAGTATTAAAAGTAATAAACACAAATACAAGCCCTGAAATCTGGTCAAATCAGCAACAAACTTAAGAATGGTGACACCGTATCGAGAAAGAGAAAAAAAGGTGCGGATACAGTACTTTCTCAAATTTGCAATTAGATTTCAGTGCTCCGTTCGATCTCGATTCAAGATGATTATCTGCAGCAGACGATGTAAAATTACAGTAGTTGCCATATTTAATTTCATACGTCGCACATATTTTAACGCACCATAAACAATATTTTACACAGGTATTTGAGATGCCATCAAGCAAGTACAGTAAGTCCAATAATCATGTGAATAGAAGTGTTCACAGTGCTTCTTTCTCGATAAATATTATATTGTTAGGATTTAGGAAGTGATATTAATTTATTCTTCCCGTTTGAGGTTGAAAGAACTCACGAGGCATTTCCGTGTTCCGGAAATCATTCTTCCGCAAAGGGCATCTTGCGGATCAAGATTGTAAACGCGAAGACTATCTTCTCCACAAGCACTGAGATCCGTAAGCTCAAACTCGCCGACTCTAGGTTTCATTTTCAGCCGGAAGAAGTACTTGTCTTTCTTGTGCG